ATAATAATAATAAATTAACAAATTATGTACAAATTATTATTTTATTGATTATTTTTAAAATTCTATTATTTTTACATACTTCGCCACTCATTTCTACTATATAGTAGAGTTTTATATCTCTAGTTGCTCTTTGAAAGATCAATACTATTCTCTTTTTTAATTATTTGTAGTGTGGCTACTGAAACGGCTGTAGCCAAACACTTGGTACGTGATACAGGTCCCATATTGAAAGGAAAATGTGTGTGGATGTACGAATAAAATGATCCGTGTTGTTTGAACGCTGTACAATGATACAAAACGGAGTATGTGTCGTTCATCGGTGTACGAACTAAAAACGTGCGAACTACACAGTACACGGACAAATAAAACCGTAGTGTGTGGCCACTTTAACATATACATAATATATATTAATATTCCTTAAACAATAATATTATATTCATTGGTTGACGGCCGAATAAAACTTTGCGTAAATACTGTATAATATAAATTATTATATGTAATTATTGTTTCTAAATAATATATTTTTAGTTTAAAGAGTAATTTCTTTCGATTTCAATAGGAACTTGAAAATGGTAAAAACCCTTAAAAAACCGGTATTCTTTTGGTATTGTTTATAGGTTTCGGTATTGGTTAGGGTCTATTAAAAATATAAAATACAGGTAACGGTTATTTTCGGTCCGGTCTCAGTCCCTGTTTCCAACAATGTTTCAACCAATAGAAAATACATATGGATCTATGTGTCAAACTTGGAAAAGAGTATAAAGAAGGGGAAAAATGTTAAATTATTAAAAATTGTAAATAAAAATATTTTACAATAAAAATCAACCTCGTAGATAACATAAAAAATTCCTAAACATTAAATAAATATAACAGTTAACTAAAAAACCAATTAAATAGAGGAATAGAGGGCAGAAAACATTGAAACCCGTTGGAAAAAAATAAAGGGTATAATAAAAACAAGTGCATTGAAATACCTAGGAAAAAAGATAAAAGAACAAAAACGTAAATGGTTTAACGATAAGTTTCAAAATGCAATCGAAGAAATGGATACAGCAAAATCAGTGATGTTTACAAGCCCAAACACAGAAAACAATAGAAATTATAATAAGAAGGGAAAAACGATTATGGGAAAATGAAAGAATAAAGTAAATTGAAGATAATAGGACAAACCCGACTCTTCTTTTAAACAACAAACAAAAAAATTAAAAATGGGATTTACCCTATCCAGAACAATAAACAAACTAACAACGAATTCCCCATAAGTTATCACAACCAATTACCAACAATTGCATTCGACCTATTTATGTAATCTATACGCCCTTATCTTTATATTAACCTTATTGATATTATTATATTTTTGGTTTTTTTTTCTATTCTGTATACCTACTCAATATTATGATACAATATCTTATTGTTAATTTAATTTAATTACGTTGTATATAATATAATTGTTGAGCTGTAATAGTTAATACTAAGAGCTAAATAATAAAAAAAAAAAAACCTAACCAGAACAGAGATAATGAAAGAAGAAAACGGAGCACTATTAACAGGAAAAGAAATTGTAAAACAATTTGGGAAAATGTTCGAGGAATTGTTCAACTTACAAACGCACTAAGACCATACGAAAATTGAGTACTATACAGCAGAACCTGAAGACATAGAACCAACATACTTAAAAACCAGGTGAAGATGACTTAGCTGTAAAACTTTTAAAATATGGTGGTGATGAATTAATAAGAGAAGTAGGGAAATTAATCAAAGATGTGTGGCACAAAGAAGAAATATCAAAATAATGGCAACTAGCAATAATATGTCCAATATATAAAAAGACAGATATGTATCTCATACTAAGTAGAATAAAACTGTACCCAAAAGATATCATTGAAGACAACAAATGTGGTAAATCCACTATAAATCACATTTTCATTGTTAAACAATTAGTTGAGAAGCATTATGAATTCAACAATGACTTGCATCTATTTATTGACTATAAACAGGCGCGTATGATTCAGTTAATAGAGAAGTTCTATAGAATGCACTTATAACCTTTGGGATACCAGCTAAAATAGTGAAAATTATCAAATTATATATGAATAAAACCAGATGTAAAGTTAGATTCAATCAACATATATCAGATGAATTTAAAGTTAAGACTGGACTTCGACAGGGAGATGCCGCCGTATCACAGTGCTCTTTAATATAGCATTAGAAATAGTAGTTAGAAAAACTCAGAACTATATAATATAGTGGGTTAAACTTAAAAAGAGAACAAAAGATAGTGCGGAATACTATATACGTATGAATACGTATGCAGATATTATCAAATTGGGATCAGATAGTCAAGAAGTAAAAACGGACACCGAAGAACTAATAATAAATAGCAAAGACATTCGATTAAAAGGCAAGAAAATCAAGGGGAAAATTTAAAAATTGAGAATTATAAATTTGAAAGAATACATAATTTTAAATAACTGGATGTTAGAATAAACAACAAAAATAATAACCATAAGAACAACTGTAGCAAATAAATGCTATTTTGGAGTAACGAGTATACTCAAACCAAAATAAGTATCAATTATAATTAAATTATAGTTAATACATATTATTAATCTAACCTAATGTGACGTCTCGCTCCCGCTTCGCCCATTAAGGGTTCCTAGAGAACACTTATCGCATGGTGGCGCCGTAGTAATGGGCTCCACGAGGACGAGCGCACGTCGACAGGCACGCCTACCTGCCAACTTACAGCCGAGACATTTCTACCGGAGCTATAAGATTTTATCCTACCCTTTTCATAGTCCTAGAAAAGGATACATAGGTCGCAATAAAAAAAAAAGGTATAATGAATAAAGAATAACCGTTGTTTTTTGAGATAAAGAAAGGAGTTTTATAATGTTATTTTGCCTTTATATCAGTTAAAAAGGGAAAAAAATTAAGTTTAATTTAATACCGAAGAAAAGCCGAATGGTATAAAACTTCGGTGATATTGTCAAAAGAAAAAAAAATATAAGGGGTCAATATAATAAAATACAAATAAATTATAATAATATAAAATACATGACCAAGATATACATTTTAACAAAATATGGTATTATAAATAATATAAGAATTTCCAAGAAAGGAGTTTGGGAAGTGTCGGTGCAAATGTATATACACAAAATAGAATCCATTGAAGAATCATTAAACTTAAAAAAATCTATATCGAATGTCTTCTCATTACGAGATTCAAACGGTTTACTTTGTGGTGCTATCCGGAGAGACGGACGGTAAAAATGCGGATCTTCATTTTTATAACTTTTATTATTTGGAGACTCAGTCGGGAAAATGGTTGGTCACGCCATTAATTATAATATTCGTAGGGGATGTCGCAAAAATACGACTGCAGATCTGTTGTTTTACAAAAACTCCGTAGTTTGGCCTACAAAATAACCCGACGAGTTTGGAAAATATACAGACTAGCACCCAGGGTAAATTTATGACAATATTTATTCTTTTAAGACTGTCAATAAAAGATGTACATATATATATTATATGCAACGGGCATGATCTAGTTACCAATTAAAGTTATTTAAATAAAAAATATAGGTACCTGAGGGGAAACGCCATAGCGATACAAGGAACGTCAATCAGATGACAAAGCATAATAATTAATAAACGAAAATATCTATAAAACATAATTATGTACGAAAATATTGGTCAATAATAATCGACAATTTTTCGTACCCACTAAAACATAATAATCATAAAGTTAGAAGAAAATAGTTAAAATGAATAAATATTGCCGGCCAAGGCGATTAATAAAAAGGGTCGTAATATTATTTACCGTTCGGGAGAGAAATTTTCCAACGATGGGGACGGATTGACCTTAACCACACATCCCAAGATTTGAAATAAAACAGTCAACAATCTTCTAGGTCCACAGGGGCGCCACTGAGGCTGCTGGGATGACGAAGGTGTTGGTGTTTGGACGGTGATGGACAAAGTCCCCGTTCTCCGGAGCTTAGCCGCCCACGGATACTCGAACGATGTTTTTTTTAAATGATTAAATATTATGATTGGCCGATAATATTTATCATTTGACTAATGAGGTACTAACGGAGGAGAATACGCGAGCAGCAACATTATCTGCGAACCGCGGCTGTGTGTCGGAGCAATATTATAATAATTAACAGCGCATAGGTATTCGCAACGCACACAACTTTATGCATCGATTCTTAAACGTTACACTAAATCAAAAATAACAATATACAACAGTGTTTCCCAAAGTGTTCCGCGGAACATTAAGGTTCCGTGGGATAATGCTAAAGGTTCCGTCAAATGTATGTGATTATTGAGTAACTTATTTTATATTATATTTGGAAAAAATATTATTTCATATTATATAAAAAAAATTGTGTTTTAAACTAACTTTAATAAAGAGTAACAATATTAACAGTATTGTTAAAAACATTTATAGAGTATTGGTTTTCCTATATTTTTTTTTTTTTTAAAAAAATTATAGTTGAATTGGAATTAAAGACATTAGGGTTCCGCAAAACATGAACTATTTTTTAAGGATTCCGTGATTGTAAAAGTTTGGGAACCGCTGATATACAAGGTAATTATCAGACCAGTTTGGTATAACCAGTTTAATATTTGGGCCAAAAAATTATATCACACAACAATATGAAAGAAGAAGTAATATAGAAATACAATTATATAGAGCCAGACATAGTAGCAGTATTAAAATATAAGAGAATGGCATGGGCTGGTCATGAATGGAGGTCAAATAGTCTTTTGAAAGCGGTTTTAAAATAGAAACCCCAGGAGAAAAGATCACTTGGTAGACTGAAACAAAGGGGGATTAACAAAACGGAGAAGAATTTAGCAGATATCGGATACGAGATGGAGAAACTATAACACAGGAGGACAAAGATAGATGGAAGCAATTTTGTATTGTTGTAATGGGCCTTAATGGCCTTTAATAACCAAAGAAGATTATATATATATATACTACATTATATTGTAAAATATTATGTATATTTATTTTTCATTTTTAAAATGTATATTTTATAAAAATAATAAATATATGCAGTTAAGTCATGAACAAGTAGTCTACCAGCATTCCTCCTCTTCAGTGGCAACCATTTCAGAAGTTACTTCAACATTCTAAAATAAATACAAATAATATAAGTACAAAATTTAAACCAATTTTATAACATAATTTATAATTTGAAACATATTTAAATTAAATATTTTTAAATTGATAATGAAATTATAACAGAAATAATAATAATTAAAATATATAATTAAATAACTTTGTAATATACTCAAAAATAACTCTAATATACTCAAAAAATAATAGAAATTTGAATAGTAAATACTAAATAATAATATTCATATAAACACTTACTGTTCTTATATCATTGAAATCACCAAAAGCTGGAGTAGCACACATATGTGCAGCAGCATCATTTAGCCATGATGGGATTTCTTGTTCTGCCTATAGTTATAAGTTTACAAATTAAAACATACTTCATATATGAAATCATCAAAAGGGTAATCTATCAATAAATATGTAAAATTTATAAATATTTGCTTTTTTGGATATGATTTACTAACATAAAATAAATCTAACTGTATATTTAAATTAGTTATTTAGTACTAAAATTTTAACTTACATTAGAAAGGATTCTAATTAATTCCGGAGCCAACTGTCCATCCACTTCAGGGTCGAAAAATGAAATAGCTTTACCTGCATTTCCTAATCTACCTGTACGTCCAATACGATGAACATATTCATCAATTGTTTTTGGCAAATCAAAGTTTACAACATGATTTATTCCTTTGATATCTATAAAAGAAAATTAAATTATACAAAATAAAATAATAATAATTAGTTTATTAACCTTCAGAAAATCATAGGAGGGTTAGTTATAGGGATAGTTTTTTCTGCTAAAAATAATAAGAATAAAATTGTAAAATTAAAAAAGTACAACAATTTATTTCTTTAACAAGAAGTACTTTTTAAATAAATCAAATTTAAAAAAAATGGACAAGACTCCATAGTCAAGTAAAATACAAGAACAGGTGAATGATGTTGATGTTAAAATTCTTTAAAACTTAAAATCAATGTACGATTGCTTTCAAAGGTATATAAAATATTAATGATAAACATCAATAACTTTTTTTAGGGCTCAGATGTTTAGACACTTAAAATTGCACCAAAAAATTATCAAATATGCAATTAAATATGAAAGTACAAAATATCAAACAAAGTTAATTTATTTTACCATTAAGCATCAACAATTCAAAGTTTATCTATTTACAATTAAATTAGGTAAATATAGTTTTACACTGTGATATAATAATTTTTTTTAATATTAAATTCATTTGATGTTATTCAATTTAAATTAAAAATATTTTTCCCCTGATTTTCTGAAAATTAAAAACTTAAATTTTTTAGTAAATACCTAATCCTCGAGCAGCAACAGCTGTAGCCACTAGAACTTTCATTTTTTTTTTTTTTAAATCATTTAAAGCTTGTTCCCGTTCAGGTTGTTCACGATCACCATGAATACTTGTAGTTGGAAAATCCATTTCACTTAGATATGCAGCAGTATAATCTGCAGTCCTTTTAAGTTCAACAAATACTATTGTACCTTGACAATCATCTAACATAATAAAAAAAAATAAAAAAAATAAAAAATATATTTAAGTAAAAATAGCTAAAAACTTTTGTATAATTTAAATTTATATATTATTATTATTGATTACAAATACTATTAATTATAACTAGGGTAGAGGACTTATAGCATTTGCATATTTTTTTACCACAGTCACAAAAATAGCAGAATATGAAACATATACGTTTTATGATTTCACAAAGCTAGTTTTGACATTTTATTTTGCATATAAATGCATATTTTGAGTTTTTTTTTTAGTTTTTAGGCATATTTCTTCCATTTTATACTTTTAGATGCATATTTTAAATAATTTATCATTTTATCAATATTTGTTTGTCTACATTTATATTTATTTTTTTATACAACCAAAATAATGTTATTTAATAAATAATGTTATTAAATTCCAATATAAATTTTTTTTTTTTTTGAAAGCGCTTTCTCGTGTAGTAATATTTAAAAATACAGCACCTCGCACCTGATCTTTTACTTCCTCCACAACCTATAACTAAATGGTTAAAACACATAAGCCCATAAATTCAAATAATTCAATACTTATTGTAACATGTAAGTTGTACATAAACTTCAAATAAAACATACTTATTAAATTAATAGGTACTTACAGAAGAAAAAATCCTTATTTTTTCCCCAAAATATTCATTTTAAAATGTATATTTTTAATGCATATTAATAATTTTAAAATGCATATTTTGTGTATATAACTGCATATTTGGTGATTTTTTAAAGCTAAAAGTCCTCTGCCCTACTTATAACTAATAGAGTTGGGCGAAACTAGACTTTGGAAAAATTACTAAGTCAAACTCGAGTATTCAACTCAACTAAAAAATTGTACTCATATATACGAGTGAGTACCTTGATTCACTTGAATTTATTTCACTAATTTATTGAAAAATTAATGTTAAAACTATAAATACTGGGAGACAAATATTTCCAAAAAGAATATCACAAAGGTCGATGGTTTAAATTAATAATATTAGATATTATTGCATTAATATTAAGTTATTATAACAACAATGGGTTAATGACATTTTATATAATTTGGTAACCATCACCATCGACCAACAACACACACTAATCAGCTGCTATTATAAGTAATTATTATTTAGTTTCTGTCATTCGACCACTACGAGTTTGTTATTTTTTTCTTATTTATAGTTTTACTGCTTTAGTTTAATAGCAATACTCGTCTTTACAAATATGTAAATAGTTTTGATTTTGGGTAAATAAGTTATAACAAACAGTTTATATGTTGTAAAGAGGATTCGACTATAAAATAATTAAATATTTAAATATAAATACTATTTTACTCTCTATTTTATTATTACTCTATATTGTAGAACTAAATAAATAATAAACATTAAACAATAGTTTAAAATTTTAATGTATTAGCATTGATTTTATAACTGACTATTATAAAATCAATGTTATTAATAATGATTTAGTCGAGATATTAAAAACATAATATTATGTATTTTAGAGTTGAGCGAGTACTCAAGTTTGGAAAAAAATTGTATTTGTAAATATATGAGTACTTGAATTTTGAATTGGATTCGACTCAACATCTTAAAACAATATTCGCCAAACACTAATAATTATTTATATTTATAACACGTTAAATATAAAATCATACCCATTTCTTTCAATAAATTAAGTAATGTTTCCTTCTTTTTAAATTTCCCAACTTGTAATATGGTTTGCACTACGTCTTTACAAGCTCCTCCTATTTCACCAACAGCTACAAATATATAATCTGGTTTTAAATAAGATTTTGCCATGTATTGAATGTCACTCGCAAATGTAGCAGAAAACATTAATGTTTGTCTCTTATTCTAAAAAATAATAAAAGAGTTTCTGTATTAATTTTATAATAATACATAATACTGTTTAATCGTTATATAAGTCAAAAAATTATTTATTACCTTTAATTATATTAAAATTATACCAAATTTGTTAAAAATAATTTCTCCATCAAATTAAATTTATATAAAAAAAAAAAAGAATGAATAAAAATATTTTGTATTTATTTTTTCTGCCAACTAATTGCTCGTTTCCTAAAATGTAGAATATGGAGAAGAAACATACATTCATTTATTATTTAAAACCTGTCTCTCAGTCTAAGCAAAATGAGATTTTTACTTAGCTTACTAGTTCTTACTTGAGCTGTACATAATGTGTTAGTTTTTCCTTTTTTAACTTATTTATTGAAATTAAAATTACAAAAAACTTACATTAGGAGGCATAGTTGGGTGTTTCAATACTCGTTCTATATCTTGTTTAAAGCCCATTTGTAACATTCTGTCGGCTTCATCTAAAACAAAGTATTTAATTGACGAGAAAGTAACAATACCTTTTTCAACAAAATCATTCAAGCGTCCAGGAGTAGCAGTCAAAATATGAACTCCTCGCTAAATAAAAGAAAAGTAAATTTAGTTAAAAACATTAAAAGCAGACATATTTTTTAAAACTTTGATTTTTACTATTATTACCTGTAGAATTTTAGACTTTTGGTGACCAACAGATGTACCTCCATACAATAATCCATTTCTGATATCAGTTCCTTTGCTGAATTTCCAAACACATTCACAAATCTGAACAACTAATTCTCTAGTAGGTGCCATAATGACAACTTGAGGCTCACAATGATTTTCATCATAAACTAATGATGTTGGATTTTCCAATAAATTATGTAAAATAGGTAGTACAAATGCTGCCTAAAATAAAAATTATATTTTCTTAATTTGAAATGTTAAAAAATTAAATTAAATTACAGTTTTTCCAGAACCAGTCTGAGCACTGGCCATCAAATCTCTTCCAGCAATGACAATGGGTATAGAATAATTTTGAATTGGTGTTGATGTAGAGAATTTATTCAAAGATAAGTTTTCTAATAAAACTTCTTGCAGACCAGAACTATGGAATGATGTCACACTTTTTGGTGGATCAGTTCCACTCACTTTTACTTCAATTGTTTCATACTTATCAAAATTCAGACCTGCTTCAATTCCAGCAATAGATTCTTCATTTTCAATATCTGGTGGAATATATGGTACACTATGTTTGTTTTCTTTTATTTTTAAACCATCTCCATCATTATCATAGAAGCCACCAGAATTTTCTCTAAACCTTCCTCCTCTACCTCGATGACCTCCTCGTCCTCGTCCTCTGTAGCCTGTAGCAGTAATACCATTTTGATTGTTAAAACTATTATTAGATTCATCTCCGAATGAATTGTTTTCTTCGTTAAATTTTTTGGTAAAATTCCGACCACGACCACGACCTCGCGTATTTCCACTATTACTTTGAAAATTATTGGAAAAATCATGGCCCCACGATTTTTCAATTGAACTACGGCTGTGGTTTGTTTTGTTAAACACTCCTCTCCCTCCTCTTCTATATCCTGAGTTATCCTTATTGTCCTGATTATCTTTTGATTCATATTGATTATTCCAAAGGTTTTGTGTATTTTCACTAATAGTGAAATCAGAATGACCTTCATGTCTTCCAGCATTAGAATTATCATTTATTGAGGAATCATTGAATGTTTCTACCAAAGTTTGTTCAAAGTTATCATTATTAGTAGTTTGACATTTATAACTCCATTCATTTATAGTTGGTGACTGATTATTTTCGTTAGATTCTGATGAACCAATTGGATTTTGTTCCATTGCAAATCCTAAAATAAATTTCAAAAAATTTTAAATTATCAAAAATGTATTATGATCTTCTTCTTAGAGTTCCTATCCGTTACAGATGTTGAAGATCATATTAGATTTTGTTATTGATATACATTTTTATTATGATGATTAATTTAATTCTGATAAAATATTAATTGCATAAATTTTCTTTTTCATTAACATGAATTAAATTTAATGATGTTTCTGAAAAGAATTAAATTAAATTATCTTTTCAATAAATCAATTAAATTTCCAACTAATTCATAATATTAGATAAAAAATGAATATAAGAACAAAAATTGATTAGACTAACCTAACCATCAAATATGTAAAATAATAAAGGATAAATAAATGAGAATTACAAGTTCTTTACTACAACTATTGATTATAAAATAGTCTATTATAAAATCAACAAGCACTATATTTTATAAATATAACTATTTTGATGATTGACTGCTTTTTTAATTTCCAAATAAAATAATATATTTCAAAACCTATTTTCACCAGATAAGGTAAAATACATACGGTTATTTCCAAAATATTTTGACAGCGGCTCGAAACGTCAACGGACGAACAATAGTCTTCCACAGTTCAAATATAAAATAATTAATAATACATTTCAAAAAACAATAAATTGAGAGAGAGAAACAATCAAATGAGAGGAAAAGACAGTCGTTATAACCGCAATAACGTTACCACTATCGCATCAAAGCCAATGCCTATAATTTTACATAGGTACAGCCACCACAAAAAAAAAAAAAAAACGCATATCACAGATAGACAATCGATATTACTGATAAATTATAAGAATAAGAATAATCTGTGATTAAGTACTGACATTACCATGGTGGATATATATCCACCTTGGACATTACTCTATGGCTTTAGATAATATATTATATAAAGCCATAGACCGTTTTCAAGGTTTATAGATAATATTATTTATCTATAATTTATTATCTATCTATTATCTATAAACCTTGGGCCGTAGTTAACTTGTTCTCTACTCCATACGCCTTTAAGCCGGGTTTACACTACACCGTGCCGTGTCGTGTCTTCCAAAATAATTATCTCTGATTGGTTGAACCATATTGTTACATCAAAGTATACCTTATAATAAATTACAAGTTACCTCATTAACCATAATATACCGTGAAGTTGATTTTATCCAACTTCAGAGCGTGTGGTTACCGATTTTAATAGTAATAATTTAATATTCTATAACATTATTCATAATAACAAAGGGCTTGGAAGGTGTTGCATTTGCATAATTTTATTGGGCTATTCAATTTATTGCTGAGTAACCTTGAAATTATTTTCATGACACTATGAAAAACCTAATGGGAACATTTTAAAAGAAAATTTCAAATTTCAAGCTATTTATATTGCTTTATTTTATCATATATATTTATACCTAGAAATAATGTTTAGCTTAGTATAATATGCTAACAAGATTTATATTATTACGTACGAGTATATTTAATAAAATATCATTATTTTGAACATTTTTGCGTTAAAAAAAAATTAAGCGCATATTTTTGAAACATATTTGTACTTTTTTAAGCGCATAAGTGCATGTATATTTAGTACTTTATAAGTGCATTAAGTTCCAAGTCCTAATAATAATGTAATACATACTGTCTATAATATAATTTAATATTCATCAGTTATTATTTATTGAAACTTATGAAAATATTTTATATCTAATAATAAAACTACGAAAATATGTAACCAAAATTTGACAGCATCACCATAAGATATATATTGGTATCACACATTTTCAAAGCACACGGTCTGATAAAATATACGTCACGGTGTAGTGTGAATCCGGCTTGATCACAGCTACAGTATGTACCACGGTCATAGCATATACCACATTGTCACATGTATCGGGCGCGAAATTTTAAATTATCCTACGTTAGCCCATGTGAATCTTAATATTTATTTATATCTGTTATCGAAATATTTCTTTCTTCACATAAACGAGAGGTATTCAGAAAATAATAAACGTTTTGGAATATAAAAAAAAACCAAGAACAAGAAAAACATCTTATTATATACATGTGAAAAAGGGACTAATATACTACTTTTCTACATAGTCACCATAGAAATTCAGTCACTTGCGATGAACAAGCCACTCAGTAATGCATATCTAGAGCTCCTCTTCATCAAAACCCTATGTTGTAAGTCAGTTCTTCATTTTTGGGAACAAGTGAAAATCACTTGAAGCAAGATCAGGACTGTAGGGAGGATAAGGAAAAACTTCCCGGTTGAATGAGTTCTTGCGTACGGTTTGCCATATGCAGTCATGCAAAAACAAAATTTTGGATGACTATTTTCTCAGGCCCTTGTTTTGGATAGCTCTCCAAAGGTTTTACAATGTTTGGCAGTACTGCTCAGAGTTAATTGTTACACCACACTCGAGAAAATCAATAAGAACACCTTGCTTATCCCAGAATACTGTTGCCATGATTGTCGACAAGATCATAGCAACAGATGGCAGAATTCTATGACACAGGGATTTTAGAGCTTGTACACTGCTATGATAAGTGCCTGAATTTGTATGGTGACTATGTAGAAAAATAGTATATTAGTTCCACTTTCACACGTATATAATAAAATGTTTTTCTTTTACTTGGTTTTTTTTATATTCTTAAATGATCCTTACTTTCCGAATAGCCCTTATAGATACACCATAGTTAAATATATATTTTTTTTTTATTGTGTGTTGATATTAATCTTTTTATATTTATACCTATAATATATTATGTTAATATGATAAATTATTATTATGACCTATTAAATTTTTCTATAAATTGTTGCGTGCCGTCGCTCAATCGTATTTGATAGTTAAGTTTTTAAGGATAATACTTCAATAAAAATACTTAATTGTAATTTAAACTATTTATTCAATAAATTTTCTAAGTACAAAACATTAATTTGAGAAATAATGTGGCGTGAAGGTGCTTGCGACTGTACATGTAAACCACATCTGAATATTGGTCTGTTCCCAACCCCCTTATATACTTAGGTCCCGTGGAGATCAAACGTGCCGCGTTGTGTGAAAGTTATTTTCCAAACGTCAGATTACCTTAGTGACCTTGTCAATATTACTATTCGCGCATTTTCCATTAGTGACTCGGACCTACCAAATGTCAACCACCTGTCATCTGTCATCTGGCTTGCCATTATCTATATTCCGTGCACTTAACGAATCCGCTTTTTGCACATGTCTTACTGATGCCTAATTATAATAATGTTTTTAATATTTATTACATACTATCTGTCTTCGTAATATGTGTTTGCGTTACCCTCTGTTTTAAACTAATAGTTCCTTTCTATTATTGCGAATATTATATTACTCATAATCATTCTGCGATCTCTACTATTTATGATTTATGTGGACCCGCTTGTACTGTAAGAGTCGTAAGGACCTACATTCATGTATGTCCGCAACACCTCCGCGCGAAAAGAAAGATTTCTGTCCTCAGATAGAAATCTTTTACAATCAGCCCTAATTTTTCAACATTTGTTTTACAATATTTTTTTTTTTTTTAAAAAAACATAAAATGACATACAAATTTATGGTTAATACAATTAATTTTACATGATATTTTGATTAACAATATTAATATATATTTCTTTTTTTTTTTTTCGAATATAAAATGAAAATTAAATTTATAGTATAATATTAAAATGATACATTATAACATAGTTTACATTACTACTATGAATATAATATATGTATGTTAGTTGTACAAATATCTTATATTTTAGTGTTAGATATTACAATGATTAATTTCACATTTTTTTTTT